AGATGATTCAATATGTTCTGGAGATTTCAGAAAGTTTTTTCCAGAACACCAGAACCCTTCTGGCATTCGAGGAAAACACAATCCAAAATCTGCAGCCGTCTGGATCAAGTGATCGACGGTGATCCCCCACCTTCAGCCAACCAAGCAGCCCTCACAAAAATCCAATCGTCACACCGTTGGCCTTTGACTTTCAAAACCTCGGCCCTTAAGATTTGAAGCAAGTTTTTAAATGTATTTTCATCTTAAGAGGGATTCATCGGTTTCAATTTGTGTTCGTTTCTTAGTTTTCAAATGTCTCTCAAAAGGAAACGAGATCTTCAAGTGCACAAAATCAATCAATGCACAGTCTTGTTTTGTATCCTTTTTGAGATTTCTTCAGTCTCACTTGACTTGGTGTTAAGCTGTAAATATGTACCTTTTTGAATTGAAATGATTGTTGTTAATCGTGTTTTGAGTTTTTAAAACGATCGTTGTTGATCTCGTTTGATTTGTCAATTTCAGACCACTTTTCAAACTAATGAGATCATTGTTTCCGAACCAATCTCTTTGAAAACCATGTTAGTTACCTACTTGAAAGCTTTGCTCTTCATGTTGACTGTCTTTGTGATTTGTCTGAAAACCGACTTCACGAAGAAGTTGAACATTAATTGAACTCCTCAGAAATTTGATTTCAATTCTCTAATCGACTCGAACATCTTTTCTCGACAGATGTTCGAGTCGATTAGAGAAAAATGTTGTATCTCAAATGTCTAATCGACTCGAGGATTCGAGGTGAGAGTAGTGAATCGTGATGAGATGGAGTAGCTGATGGTGATGTGATTTGGTGCTGAGGTGAGTAGGGATGAGGGGTGAGCTGGTGGAGTTGGGTTGTGTTCACGGGGTTTCTGGCATTCTGGAAGTGTGGTGCATTCAAATTTGCTGAATGCCAGAACGCCAGAACACACCAAAAAAAAAACTTCTGGCGTTCTGGAAAAAACCTTCTGAAAATTCCCAGAACATATTTGTATACCCTAAATATAAACCATGAGTGGGTCAAAGAGCGAAGATGGACACCTCTGTTGTCCTCAACGGATCTGTCAAAGTTGGTATTGACATATCCTTAGCCGGTGTTTTGGTACAAAACCGGTTTTAACCCAGGTTTGGTACTTTTGTAATTTTGACAGACACAGCACAAAAAATATACCGATAAACTCTTGAAGCGCGGTATGTAGACATGTTTACATGTTTTTTTTTTCTTTCAAAGGCTTGATTATAATGGGCACAATTCTGAGTATGTGGAGGTGTGCCAGCTGATTCCTGAGTACTCATCTGTGCTCAAGGAATGCTTATTTGGAATGCTCAATCAAGATGAAGATGAGCAAACTTGAGCAAACTTGGGCAAGGTGGAAGTTTTGCATGCTAATCACCTGAACAGAACAAAAAATTGTGACATGAAAGGATATTTGCAAATGATTGTTTTTGGAATGAATATGGAAGGCTTTTCATGCTCACCTCTATGTGAGCTCCTGTTTTGGCCCCTGTGAGTCCCTCTCGGCGAGCAAGCCTGCAAGAGAGGGACTTATGGGTTATCCACAAAATTTGGCATGTGAGCAAGAAACTTTTGGCTGGGGAGTTTTTCAACCCGCCATAATTTTTTACTCTACAAATAAACAGTCTTTGGACCAAAGGAAGCTCCTGTGCGCCTGCTCAAACTCCATACATTGATGTATCTCACTGTGTATTTGATGCACTTATAGCCAAGCAATAGAAGGCTGAAGTTTGCAAAAAATCCAAAATAGATATGTAACTGCAGAGCTCAATGGCAGGCCTCCCATATGCTTTGACTGCCTCAGAATATCTCTGTGTCTGGTGTGATTTGTGACAACATCTACAGACTTTGGTAAATTGGAATACACTTGCTGAGCAGGTACCTCAACTGTGGATTGCTCTAGAGCAGGTATATCTATGTTTTGGTTGACTTGTTTGATTGCTTGAACAATTCCTCCAGAGATCAGGTGTCAGCCTGATACTAGAAGTATAGGTAAAGTTGGTCTAGAATCAAACTACAGATACTTACAAAATGTATTTTATCGAGCTTAGGAGAGATTCCTATCTTCTGAGAGAAATTATTTTTCAGTTCTTTGTAAGTAAAAAAGACTATAATTGGTGGTTATAGCTGTCTGTGGTGTGGTACAAAAACCACTGCCAGTATATCAAGAAGTGCACTCACTTAATGATCTGCCTAGGTGAATATGTAGAAACGTAAAATGGTCCTGGGTAACACTTTAGCGTTGATTTGATAAAACAAGCCTTTATCAAAAGATTTCTAGCCGGGGTTGAAGGAACTTTAGTCGGATGGTTACTACCAAACAATCTTTAACGTCCTAGTTGATGCTGATACGGATAGAAAGGATAAATGAAAAAAGGAGAGAGAAATAGGTCCGAACAAAAGAACTAGTATGGAGCGATGAAGAAGTCTGAATAGGGTTTCTTGAAAGCGCTACTAGTTTATCTTTTCAACGGAAGGAGGAAAATGAGTTATTGGTTGATCTTCTTAACAGTAAAAAGGAGAAAGCTTTTTGTTCATAAATTGTTAAAGTGATAAGAGATAATTCTTCTTTTCTTTGAGGAAGAATAGTTGGCTATTCAAAGTGTTAGGAACTCTTTCAAATTGACATGAAATGTAGTTTGTTAATTAAGGGTTTCTGTGGTACGTCATCGAATATATCTTGGACTAGTCCCTGATGTGTAACAGGGCTAGCTGAGGGTATGCTTCGATACGCCTGGTTCAGTTAATTAACTTTGCTGGTTGCCTTCTTTGAAGGTAGGGTTCTTTTAGGTATTTGATCACAAATGTAAAAGAATTTATATTTTAAATGTTTTTTAAGTTCTTTATCTTATAACTGTTTACTAGATATTAGGCGGCTAGCCGCCACAGAGTCTTGAGAATCATTACACTATGGGGTTACGCTGTGTGATTGAAAATTGACACTTACTAAAGAATATTTGGATTATTTTATGACTTGTATGCGTGCATTCTCTTATAATTGCAGTTCAATTTTTGTGCGGTCGGCATGCATGGGTAGTAAAGATTATGCACCATATCTTTCCCCCTGCTTGCAACTCCCCATACACATTGCAGT